GAAAAGGCCCTTCAGCTGCTCAGCCTGGGAAGGAGGGGAAGCTCTGGACAGAAACTGGGCAGAAGATCCTGGAGGAGGAAACCATCCTCCCTTCCGAAGTTCAGCCCTGGAACTTCATCCAATACCAGGAGGCTGAAGGTCCCCGAGGACTTTGCAGCCGACTCCATGACATTTGCAGGCGATGGCTGAGACCAGAAAAGCACACCAAAGCCCAGATGCTGGACCTGGTGGTTCTGGAGCAGCTCCTGACTCTCCTGCCCCCAGAGATGGAGGGCTGGGTGCGGGAGTGTGGAGCAGAGAGTAGCTCCCAGGCGGTGGCCCTGGCTGAAGGCTTCCTCCTGAGCCAGGCAGAGGAGCAGAAGGAGCAGGTCCAGTTGCAGGTGAGAGACTTTAGGGAGCTTAGAAGGGAATAGAAGAAGTGTTTAAATACTTCACCCCACCTTCTTAAACTTCTCTGGTCTTCATAATATGTGGCAATTCACCAATTCTAGGATAATGTTCCATTGTTTTCTCATTCAACCTCCTTGGTGGATATTGGGGGTTTTGAGGTTGTGTTCCAAATATAAGAATCCACTTTGTGTTGTGTGACGTACATTAATTCTGCTTCTTTTTTCCTTCCTCCTATTTGAAGGGCTGCACTGTGGAGATCAGAGATCCTGAGGGAAAGAAGAACCCATCAAATCCTCCCCAGGAGCTATTTTTCAGGAGGATCCCTTGGGAAGATCAAAGTCAGGACAGCTCCGGAGGTAATGGCAGATCCTCCGATTGCCCATCTGTCTTACTTTCACTATCTCTTCTCTTCTATAGAATACCTCCTCCTATTTTGTTAATTATTTTGTTAAAATTATTTATTCCTTCCAGAGAAACAAAGAATGAAATTTTCTGGTTTTTATGACGGAGATCAAACAGCGGTTGAACCTCCAAATCAAGTAAGAAAGGGAAAATATATTAGATTTCTATTCTCCCTTTGTCTTCTTCCACAACATGGAGAGGAAAACAGCAGATTCAGGTTGCTGTCATAGCTTCCTCTGGTTATCTTGTTCTACTAGGTACTCCACCAACTTTGAGTTTACAAGAAGCAATTTTTAAAAACTCCTTCAAGAAATGGGAATAAACGTATCACAGTGGCAGGAACTGCTAGAGACCCTATTTATTTATTTTTTTGGTAATTCTCTGACTTGGAATTGTGCAAGGCTAATGAAAAATAACAAAATACTCACATTGCCACATTACTATTTTTAAAAAGCCTTATTTATAACCTGTAGTTTTCTCTTCTTTCTTTTCTTCCTTTCAGCCAATGGCTCAGACTACTATGTCAATCAATGATAGGCAGAGCGATAGATCAGTTGATCCAGAAGTTGGATTATTTAATGAAAGACACTGAAGGTTTTGCAGAAGCAATGCACTTGATAAAACATCCCCAAATAATTCTTCAGTAAAAGCAATTTATAGATTTGCCCATTTTCTCACCTAAAATTAGGATTTGTGTGGTGCACAGCCATTTAACTTGTTGCATATCCCTGTTTTGGGAATTTGGGAACAATGGAGCAGAATAACAGAGTTTATAGGGATCTTGGAGGTCTTCTAGTCCAACCGGCTGCCCAGACAGGAAATCCTATAACATTCCAGAGAAATGGCTGTCCAATATCTTCATAAACACCTCCAGTGTTGGAGCACCCACAATTTCTTGAGGCAAATCATTCCACTGATTAATTCTTCTCGCTGTCAGGAAATTTCTCTTTACTTGTAGGTTGGTTCTCTCCTTCAATACAATAATACAATANTCAGCATGTTCCTTGATCTCTGTGATGAGATTTTGGAGCTAAATCCCTTGCTTGAAGCATCCCTTTGGATTGTAAACGAGACCAGTAGAGCAAGATCTCAGGCTACTAATCTTGCATGATCCCGCACTGCAGTACTTTCAGCCTGCGTTCTTTTAAGAACTGAGGATTGCACGAGATCCAGGACAAAAGTCTTTGAAAATAAAGAGGCCTTCCTCTTATTTGCAAAGCATTTTGCCCTGGATCTCATGCAGGCCTTGGTAAGCAGAGAATAGAGGCCTAAAGTAGTGAGAGATATATAAGATGAGTAGTTGGAAATCTTGCACTACTAATCTCACATGATCTTGCACTACTAATCTCACATGATCTTGCACTATAGTACTTTAGGCCTCTATTCTCTGCTTACCAAGGCTTGCACGAGATCCAGGGCAAAATGCTTGGCAAATAGGCGGAAGGCCTCTTTGTTTTCAAAGACTTTTGTCCTTGATCTCGTGCAGTCCTCAGTTCTTAAAAGAACACAGGCTGAAAGTACTGCAGTGCGGGATCATGCAAGATTAGTAGCCTGAGATCTTGCTCTACTGGTCTCGTTTACAAGCCAAAGGGATGATTCAAGCAAGGGATTTAGCTCCAAAATCTCATCACAGAGATCAAGGAACATGCTGAGCAGGGGTCCCGCACTCCCGCCAGATGCTGTGGAGCAGCTGCTCCAAGGTACACTGGGGAACAAGGAGCTTGCTTCAAAATTGTTTTAGTTCTCACAGGTCTCTGGTGAAATTAACCCATTCCAATAAATCTTAAGTTTTCTCCTTATCCCTCTTTGGATGTTTCCCCTGATTATTCCTTAACTCAGAACTGACTTTCATATATATAGATAATTATAAAGAAACAGATATTTTCTAGATATTTTCAAAGCTTTCAGGACTCATGAATATAGAAATCATCAAGTCTATATCGGACCACTGTAAGGATGCAAATATTCAACATAATGGAATTGCAGAAAAATTAAGAAGGAAATTCATTTGACTTTCTACAATTCGATCTTTTTCCTTAACCTTGTTATCATTTTCATTTCCCTTTTGCTTTGAAGGTAATAATGGCCAGGAGAATCAAGATTTCTGTGAATTGTTCCAACTGATCAATGCCAAAGATGGAACGGAGAAGTTTGGAATTCGAATGGAACTAGAAACCCATGACTGGAATCAGGAAAGCTCATCTTCCATTGATGCTCCAATGCAAGACTTTCTTGCCCAACAAGAGAAACCATATAAATGCATGGAGTGTGGAATGACCTTTGCTCTGAGCAATAAACTTACTATCCACAAAAAGAGCCACACAGGGGAAATGTCATTTAAATGCATGGAATGTGGAAAGACCTTTGCTCGAAGAGATCATCTTATTTCCCATAAGATGATCCACACAGGGGAGAAGCCACATAAATGCATGCAGTGTGGGAAAACTTTTACTCATAGCAAAGGGCTAACTATCCACAAAAAGCTCCACACAGGAGAGAAACCATATAAATGCATGGAATGTGGAAAGACCTTTGCTCTGAGCAGTAGACTTACTAGCCACAAAAAGATCCACACTGGGGAAAAGCCACATAAATGCATGGAGTGTGGAAAGAGCTTTGCTAAAAGAGGAAATCTTATTTCCCATGAGATGATCCACACAGGAGAGAAACCACATAAATGCATTGAGTGTGGAAAGACCTTTGCTCAACGAAGTTACCTTGCTTCCCATAAAAAGATCCATGCAAGAGACATGCCGTATAAATGCATGGAGTGTGGAAAGACCTTTCCTCTGAGCAATAGACTTACTATCCACCAAAAGATCCACACAGGGGAAAAGCCATTTAAATGCATGGAATGTGGAAAGACCTTTGCTCGAAGAGATCATCTTATTTCCCATAAGATGGTCCACACAGGGGAGAAACCGTATAAATGCATGCAGTGTGGGAAAACCTTTACTCATAGCAGAGGGCTTATTATCCACAAAAAGCTCCATACAGGAGAGAAACCATATAAATGCATGGAGTGTGGAAAGACTTTTGTCCTGAGCCATAGACTTGCTATTCACAAAAAGACCCACACAGGAGAAAAGCCGTATAAATGCATGGAGTGTGGAAAGACCTTTGCTCTGAACGTTAGACTTACTATCCACAAAAAGATCCACACAGGGGAGAAGCCATATAAATGCATGGAATGTGGAAAGACCTTTGCTCAAAGAGGTCATCTTACTTCCCATAAGATGACGCACACAGGGGAGAAGCCGTATGAATGTATGCAGTGTGGAAAGAAATTTGCTCAACGCAGTTATCTTGCTTCCCATAAAAGAACCCACACAGTGGAGAAACCATATAAATGCATGGAATGTGGAAAGACCTTTGCGCAACGCAGTTATCTTGTTTCCCATAAAAGAATCCACACAGTGGAGAAGCCATATAAGTGCATGGAATGTGGAAAGAGCTTTGCTTGGAATCATAGTCTGTCTTCTCATAAAAGGATCCACACGCAGGAGAAACTATAGTAATAGCAATTTCCCTTAGACTTTTATACCACTCCACAATGCTTTACGACACTCTGAGCAGTCTATGAAGTCAGCATATGCTGCCCAGCAATCTGTTTCCTCATTTTACCAACCTCAAAAAGATGAAATGCTGAATCAACCTTGAGTCGGTCTGGATCTAACTCCTGGCTATGCATAATTATCCCGTAATAGTGCATTCTAGCCACTGACCCACCAGGTCTACATATTTTAATGTGTATACATATTCTGCCTTTCTAATCCAAATGAGATACGTGAATCCAACAAAATGAAATTTAATCTGGAGAAAAGAAAGGTGTTACACTTGGCAGGAAAAACGGATTAAGCGAAACCTGGTGCAAAACCAGTAACTGAGAGGGACTTTGTAGTCCTAATGGATGACTCATTAAACATGAGTCAGTCATGTGCAGCAGAAGCCAACAAAGCTAATAAAATGCTTGGTTGTATAAGTAGGGGTATGGAATCAAAGTCACGTAAAGTATTAATACCACTTCATATAGCCTCCAAAAAGAACAGCCATGGAGAACAGTCCAGAATACAACCCTTCGTCATACAAGCCGAGGTATAGAATCAAAATTACATGAAGCATTAGTACCACTTTATAAAACCTTAATAAGACCACACCTGGAATACTGCATCCAGTTTTGGCCATCGCATTACGAAAAAAATGTTGAGACTTTGGAAAAGTGCAAAGAAGAGCATCTAAGATGATTAAAGGCCTGAAGACTGAAAGAAGAATGGTTGCAGGATTTGAGTTTGGCTAGTCTAGAGAAAAGGATTAGGAGCGACGTGATAGCAGTATTCCAGTATTTGAGATGCTGCCATAAAGAGGAGGGGGTCAATTTTTTCCCCTAAGCACCAGACAAAAAACAATGGATGGAAACTAGTCAAAAGAAGCTGGAATTTCCTTACAGTGAGGACAATTAACCAATGTAACAGCTTGCCTTCAGATATTATGGATACTTCATCACTGGGCATTTTTAAGAAGAGACTGGACAGTCACTTGTCTGTAGTGAAATAGGATCTCCTTGAGCTTGACAGTTCCCTTCCAGCTCTATT